TTTATTGTATCAGCCTTTTAGCCAAGATGTTACTTGGTACTTTTTGTTTTTTACCAACAAAATTATCTGTTGCTTGTTTACAAAATAGTGATGATTTTGGAGTGTCACTACCAGGCAAAGAAATGGAACTCATAAGTTCATTAAACCTAAAATACAGTCTCTTGCTCCAAAATGCACTACTCCACTAGCCATTCCTCTTTTGGTACAATTAAGAAGTTAAAAACTGAAGTGTTCTTGTGATTGTCTTTCTATTAGCACTATATTTTTAACAACTGACAACTTACTTGCTCTTACCGAATATGAAAGAAATATATATTCATTGTAGAAACTTTGAATAATGCAAAATGCATAAATTATTTTAGTCATATTTCATTCTAGTCTTCTTCTATATATATGTACTTTACAAAGTGGTGTCATAATAATATAATTAAAGTTAACCTTCTTTCATTTAATAGTGTAAAGTGAGTATTTCCCTATTCCATTAACTACTCTTTGAAAATGCAATTCCTAATGGCTGCTAAATATTTTAACACAGGGATATACTAAAATGTATTTAACAATTTCCTTATTGGATTTTAAACTGTTGTATTTTCTTCTTGATTTTAATAAAAAGCACTTTAATCAATATTTTTGTATTTATATCTTTGTTCCCATTTTTATAATTTTCATGGGATGCATTTGTAGAAATAATATATGTATTTTTATAGCTTTAAAAATATATAATGATAATAACAATACTTTGAGAATTGTGCTCTCATCAATATTTGTGCATGCATGATCATAAGCTGTGATGAATCAAATTTGTCTATCTACTAAGGATTGTAGTAATCAAAACTGTCTTTGTGTTTCCAGGCATTTTCAGATGAATTTGACAAAATAGCTAATGGAAATTTCATCAGTGACAAAATTGCCAAGACTCCGAATACACAAGGTTCAGTAAAGATATCATTTCATTTTTCCTAAATTTCTTTGTTTCTTTTTTTGTTTTTCTTTTTTGGGGTTCAGAAAAAATACTAAATTAAGAAATTATTTCTAGTTATTAAATGACTACTTAATGATAAGTGAAAGATGGCAATGATGATTTTTATGAAAAAAATCTATTTGTGAGAAAAGAGATATTAAATCATATTCCATACACCCGGGCATGCAAGACACTGGCCATGATTGACAATCTTGAGTGGAAGAGTAAGCAATCCAAGTTAGATAATCTGTACAGAGGGCTTTAAGTAGTGATGAGGCTAGTATTTCCTACGGATGATGTGACCTGTGTTTTTGGAAATAGACACATTTAAAGAGACAATACCAACCAAATGCTTCTTCTCTGTCAAATTTGCTGTTACATGCTTGGCTTTATCCTACTTCGAGTTTTCTGAGGCTTCTTGAATCTCAATATGTATGTCTTCCATCAAATTTGGGAATTTTTCAGTCATTTATTCAAATAGTTTTCATGCACTCGTCTCTCATCTCCTTTGGGGGCTCCAATAACATGAATGTTAGACCTTTTGATGGTGTCCTGCCAGTCCCTAAGGATCTGTTCTTTTTTTCCTTTTAATCTTTTTTTCTCTGTTTTTCAGATTGGATATTTTTTATTGATCTGCATCCAAGTTCACAGATTCATTTCTCTGTCTACTGCTGAGTCTATCCAATGAATCTTTAAAATTTCAGATATTGTATTTATAAGTGCTAAAATGTCCATTTGATTCTTAATTTATAATTTATATTTCTCTGCAGAGACTCCTATTTTTCCACTCATTCCAAATCATTTCCATTCATTCAAATATATTTACTTTGACCTCAGGGAGCATACTTATAGTAAATACTTTAAAGTCTTTGATAAGTCCCACATCTGGATCATCTTGACATAAGCATCTATATTGAGTATCTTTACCCTTGAGAACTGCTCACATTTTCTTGGTTCTTTGTATGACAAGTAGTTTTAGATAATAGGCTGGTTGTTTTTATTTTTATGTTGTGACACTTGGGTCTTGTTAAAAATCTCCTGGAAAATGGTAATTGTTTTAGCAGGCAGTCAGTCAGTTAAGTTTATCCTAACAGTCCTGTCTCACCTTCTATGGGCAGCGTTCCCATGTCACTTCAGTTCTCAGAGCCTTTGCTGTGCTGCTTGGGACGGCTCCCCCATGTGCAGCTCCTGGGTGGGCTTAGGATTTATTCCCGTTTGTCACAGAACTTGGGTCCACCTTCTCCAGCTACCCACTCACCAGAACTCCCCTCACACTCTTGGCTTGCAGGAGCCCGTTTTCTAGGCCTCTCCCCAGAGAGACAGTGTTCTCTTGGAGTTTAAGTTGCCTGTTCTGTTGCCGCATAACTTTGTGTGATCAGGGTTGACCTTGGGCAAAGTGGGAAGAGAGAAAGAGAGGGAAAAAAATAACAGGGATTTTCCCACACACAGCCATGTACACTTTTCAGACCACAAGGGCCCTATTCCCTGGATCTTCTGGATAGAAATACAGAACTCTAAGAGCTTTAACTCCCTGTGGTGCCACTATGGAGTTCTGCAACTGGGGTCACCTTGGGGATAGGGCCTGGATTAAAAAAAATGGGACTTGTATGCATGCATATAAGCATAAAGATGGACGCAGACAACAGGGGGTGAGGGTGAGGACAGGACTGGGAGGGTAGGGAGATAATGGGGGGATAAGGACACATTTGTAATATGTAATTAATTAATAAAAAATGTATATAATGTAAAAAAAAGACTATCAGGATAAGTAATATTTGATTCCAAAAAAATATTAAGTATATGTACACCCCCATTTTTCCAATGGAAGCTGTGCGAATTTCTAAATAAAGCTTAATTGGATCTCAAAAAAAAAAAAGAAGGAAAATAAGGAAGATTCCTGCCATACTCTTCAGCTCACAGGGCCCCCTTTTCTCAATCCTCTGGTCACAAAGACAGGGATCCTCTGAGAGTTTTGCTACCTGTGCTCATTGTGCAGTTCCAAATCTGGGGCCACCCTTGTGTCAAAGCTGGGAGAGAAAGGAGGAAAACTTCAAAACTTCCCCCTTTACAGGTTGCCTCTTCAGGTTTTGACTCCCCTCCCCAATCTGCCTGCTGTTGCTTACTTTTTAGTCCTCACTTACTAGATATTGTATTTGTCCCTTGTTTTAGTTGTAATCAGTTGGAGAGATAGGCTCTCATGGGCTGACTTCATCTTGGCCAGCACAAGAAGCCCACATTTGATATGTTTTAACTAAATATGTAAAAGGCTCAGTGACCATCTGACTGTCTGACTGGTAGCTATGACACACAATACCATTAGGGGGCAGACACTCAATGCAGGAGCTGCCAAGCTGCATTGACTTGTCAGTGGTGGTTCTCAGGTGACGCACCCCAGAACCAGAGAGGAGGGAGCCAGATTCTGGGTGTGCCACCCGAGAACTGCCCTGTCAAGATCTGGGACCCCTTGGGGGATGTGGGAGAGCTGGTTTTCGCCCATTCCCCGCAGGGCAGGCTGAGGGACCCCACCTACCGGAGGGACCCTGCTCACTCCGCAGATGCCCTTCAAGTCACAGTGCTGCCCCAGGTGCGGCCGGCCTGTAAGGGACCTTGGGAGGTTGCCTCCAGGATATGTCCAGCCCATCTCGCCCAGTCCCACCCCACCAGCCACCTTCTAATTAATTTCCTTTCAATGTGCACGAATCCGTGCACGGGGCACTAGTATTTTTTAATGCTTTTTCAGAAACAGACCGTCCTTTGGGCTAAGGGTCAGGACCATATTAAAGGCCAGAGATACGGGATTTGGGATGGAGAGGGAGAGAAGTACTGTATGGGAGGGCCACATGTGAGGAGCATGAGACTTAAGTCATTCTTGCTTTTGTTAACTTGATTATTAACCTCATTTTTTTCCCAGGTTTGTATGGGACTGTTACTAGCCCCACTTCAGGAGTGTACGAAATGAAAATTGGCCCCATCACCTTCCAGGTGGCCACTGGAGATATTGCTAAAGAAGCAGCAGATGTGATTGTGAATTCAACAACAAAGACATTTGATCACAAAGCAGGTACTTTACTTGTAGGACTTTTGCTACAGTAATGGTCACAGTAGATCCCTTGAAGGAGGGTTTCTATAAC